AGTTTCATGTTGCATACGGGACTATCGCACCTGCACACGATAATATTTATGGGGAAGATATGAACACCGCGCGCAGTGATCGTTTTTCTCATGAGTCATCGTGAAACCCCCTCATCATATTTTCGAACAACGAGCCGACGGTGTAAGCGTACACGCGTGTAAGCACAGTTTTCTCTCTTTCTCTCCTCTCGCCTACCCTCATTTTTTTCTCGCGTCCGCCATACGTCCGCATAACACACGCGGCGGCGAGCGTACCGTACTTACGTATACGCAACAATAAATGTAACACGACGTGGATGGAACGCCACCCTCGCGCTACGCCGACGCAACCTGCGTGGAACTCGAACATTACCGAACAATGCGGCCGTGGTAGGCCAAGTGTGGATATTGCGTACTCGCGTGTGCATCGTGTATATCGTTATATCGTGTATATCGTTTCGCGCATATACCGAATACGCTATACACACACACACACACACACACACACACACACACACACACACACACACATGCAGCCGCGCGATGTGTTCTAAACGCAATGCCGCCACATGCTCCTCTGTAACATTCTCTCGCGATGCACGTGTTGCAGTCGCGTCGTTCAAGCGCTTTCTCCGTCGCGCTTACCATCGTCTCTCTTCGCCGGAGTCTCGTACGTGCGTACATAAGCAAACCTGTTGTTACTGCTCCTCCACTGCGTTATCTCTCTCACGCATCGGGCGCCGATTTTTATAGGCGAGATGATTCACGAGGCAAGTTCATCAAGTCTCCTTCCCCACCTTTTCTGCGGACGCATCAAGCGCTTTCACGGGGATTAGAAGGACGCGGGTGTTTCTCCTCTTACTTCTATCTTACTTCCTACAGCTATCAGTGGCGTAAGCGAAGGGTGTTCGCACGATTTCGAAACCTCTCTCACCGCGACGACCGTAAATCGCGTCGCGCGAAACCAAGCGAGAAACTGCTTCGACTCCGCTACAAGAAGGACATACTTTAGGTACATTACACTCCATTCATGCGCACACTGAACGTTATAACTGTATATTTGAGTTCAACTCAGAAGATCCAACAGCTTTACATTTATTCTGATACTCTGCCTCGATAGAGAAAAGAATTGATCTGAGATTTATATACGAAAAGGCTGAAGTATTTGAAAATTTAGCTAGATATAAATCTAAAAATAGCTTTGTTGGATTGAGTTAAAATAATTATGAATATGCTTAATGTAGTTGAGAATATCAAAAAAACTTTTTACAGCATTGTTCATCATGTTAGAGTTTTCTACATAATTATTTTAATAGTCATAGTAGTAACAAAATTATTTTCAGATTTGTATATATTTAAATATTTAGATACTTTATACAAAATTGTTTTTTTCGTGTATAAAAAAAGAATCAAAAACAAGCATAAATATATGCGTCAAAAAATACAAGAAAGATTCGATATGGCTGATTTAATTTTCACTTGAATATTATTATAAAAATTTGACAATTTTTTTAAATTAAACAGTTTCCAAAATTCAATACAATTTTAAATGCCATCATGAAATGCATTGTTATTAAAAAAATATTGATAAATATTTAAGCAAGTAAAATACAATGGTTTACAGAAATTAACAATAGCTACTTTCGTTCTCACGTCATAAAACCGTAATTTATGAGTCATATCTTTTTAAAACATAATATTTGAGGTCAAGCTTAGTCTATGATTACACTGTCGCTTGACATATATTCTTTATTTAGTTCTCTATCAGCAATCTCATGCACTATATCAGTATATAGCGTTTCCGCATGCGCATATATGTGTGCTCAATGATTTGAATACACTAGACTTCGTAACGCGAATGTACTTGGAAGCAAAAAGAAGAGCTAGAGAGAAAGAAGCTGAGTCGTTATCTTTACGCCTAAATCGAACACAGATGAAATTCCGAATCATACTGTGGATAACACCACAGGAACGTCCGCAGCTTCCTACATCGTCGTTGTTGGCGTTCCGATCAGTGAGGACGATCAGCTGTTAAGCGATCCACTCACCCACACATCCGCGTGCGCGACAAGATTCTGTCTCTAACATGATCCAACCGCAACCACGCAAATGGGCGTGTAAGAGGTAATCAGGACAGTTCTTCTTTTGAAGGTAGTACCGACGAACGTTACGCTTCTTATGATCTTGATACGCTATTCCAGCTGTGACGGTATTACTGATGATATCATTTGTCCTTGTTGTCACCGGAGCACAAAATGTAATTTTACAAGCGACTTGCAGGGAGAAAAGGCTAATACGTGAAGACGTTAAGAGAATAAACTAGTGAATTAAGGCAAAAATGACCGCGTATGTATATAATCTTGTTTCTTCTTCGCATCTTTCTATTTTATTTTCAAAAAAACATAATTTCATTAAATTATAATTTTATATCAAGTTATAACAAATGCAAATTGTTATATTTATAATATATTCTTTGAAAATATTTTATAATAATTAAGCTAATTTTTTCAAAAAGAATTTGTAAAACTTGTAGAATATATTTTAATGTTTTATAAGTGTAAATTGTGCTTGATTAAGCGATGTGACTGTGTGCACAATATCGGGATACGTAATGTGAATAAACAGCTGAAGACATACCTTTTATGATGGTATCGTAAAAATAAGATGTAACATCTTTCAGTTGTAACTGTGCGAAAACATGGATAGTACTGTTTCGTAATGTTTATGATGACACGAAGCAGTTGGTGTGAATCGAAAAATAATAATAAATAAGTTCCTTTACTGTTGGTTTTAATGAGATAATTTATATGCGCAAAGCTGCATGGTGTCGGGGTAGAATTTGAAACTTAAATATTATCATAAAAGTATCGAGTCCTGCAGCGATGGAAATCAAATTATAGAGACCAAGAAATCGCGACCTACTTCTCGTACATACTCATAAAATATATCTACGTTGAACTTTTCGTGCCATTAAAGTTACAACAGAAAGGCTCAATAAAAGAATATTACATCTTTAAAACAAAAAAATATCGAATGCTATAAATTTTAGTAACAATTTTTTTTTAATTTGATTTCATCTTTCTTAACATATATGTCAAGTATCAATAGTACTTTGCAATAGTAATAAATATTAGATTTTTCACATAATCAGATTACAAAAAATACACAAGTATTTTAAATTTATAAAATATATCATCTTATATCAAATTTACAAAATCATTTTATATCAAAGATATTATTAAAGGTATTATTAATAACAAATTGTGGAAAATGTTGAAAGATAATAAATGGTTTCTTCTCCCCTTTTTACAATGTTTCTATCTTTCTGTGGTCTTGCACGCGAACTAGCTATAAATGAAAGAATCATAATGAAATTAATGTACTATCCTTGCCCATCCCTAAACCGGCTCGATCCCGATCAAGATCACTAGTCGAATTTATGAAGCACCCCACCCATCTTAATTCCCGCAGCAGCGGAACAACAGAAGCAGCGGCAGCAACGAAGGGCCATGGTCACCGCGTAATTCACGCGAGAGAAAACGTGCGAGCGAGCGATTCGATCGCATTCGGCAGGCATTAAAGGCGAAAAGGCGAACGAAATAAAAAGTCTCGGAGTCGAGAGAGCGCACGAGTGAAAAGAATAAGGGCGCCGTGTGAGCCCTCCGGTAGCGTATAAACGTAGCGAGGCATAGAAGGGTCCGTGGCTGGGCGTTCTTTGAGATGGTTGATCGCTCCGCGGCGCGGAATCAATATTGTTGGATTGCTTCGATAACGCCTCGTAAATATAATAAAGCCTTCCAACCCCTCCCTATACCCTTGCCCCACGTAGTGTCTCGCGCAAGGCAGAGAAACTGTTCAAGAAGAGATAATGGTCGGAGCCCTGGGCATCCAATGGGCCGGTTGGTGGGGACACGTTGGGCTAGGGCCCCATCACAACCCTCCATCGCAACTCCTCGTCTCGCTCTATCCATATCGTTTCTCACTCTTTCTCTCTCTTTCTCTCTTTCTCCTTTTCTCCCTATCTGTTTTACTCCCTCTCCGTCTGCCTCACGGATCCCTCACCACGACGCGTCGCGGGCAGACCCGGCAGACCTGCCGAGCACCAGAAGAGTCGACTCAGTGAGTTTCAGCCCGAGCCGGCGAACGCTTGGCTCTCTCTCTCTCACGGTGCGCTCGCCCGTACCGTCCATTCCCCGAGAACGTCCGTGACGATCCCCGAAGACTACTTGGTGGCTGTGTGTGGTCCCGGTCCTTTTTTCTTACCGGGTGGGATTCTGTGCGGCCCGATAACAAGGACGACGCGAGTCATCTACGATTGTCATTCGGGCAATAGCTTTTAGAGTGACTTATTCACTCTAACTAAAGAAGCTAAGTGAAACTGATTCCGATTTTGTAGTTCGCAGGCGCCTTGTAGTCGGCGGAGTCGGATGGCTTGCGGTGATTAGGATCGACGTAAGATTCTTAAAACGCGACTCTAATTTCAACAACGAGTGCACTTGTAATCTTGACCGGATTGTCATTCGCCTGCGGATTCCCACCGAAAGCACGTGTGGAGACTTCGACGACCGATACGGAGGATGTCACGCTCCATGGACCACCCCAGCTGCCGCGGCCGTCGCCGTGTCGCGGTGGCGACGACCCTGCCGGCGAACTTGTGGTGAACATCTCGCGTGTGCGTAATTCCCCTCGTAATTCTGCCGTATACCAACGTAGAGCGATATAGAAGAGCGACGTGGTGTGACTCTCGGTTAGTGTCATTGGAGAGTCAATGAGGCTCCAGAGAACGTGGAACGATCGCAGCGAGGCGCAGCCAACGTGGTCTTCGCAGTGAGATTGACCGGTTTTTTCGAGTGATATTTACGGAAGGAAGAAATCTCGATGTTGTTGTTGAATCAATCAGCGTGTGATTTATCCAAGGAAGAATATCGCGTGAATATTGCGCGCACGTAGCGTGTTTTCTACGAGTGACAGTAAGCGTTTGATGTGCGTTGCCTCCTTATCTACGTTCTCACACGACGCCCATGGAAATTTGTGCTAATCACGGATTAATGCATGTTGGAAATTGCAGCATGGAGGACATAAGTGTGAGTATTACGTATTACTTCTGTTTTATGTTCATAAAAGCGAAAATGGAACTTATAAGCTTTTCCCGCCACTCCCATTCGTCGTGATAATTAATTGCACAATTTCGTTCGATATGATTCGATATGATTTATCGATGATCGCGATACCATAAATGCGAAGGTTGAAATTCTATCAAACGTCAAATATATCGCGAAAATATTGACCAAATATCTCGTTCATTCTTTGTATTTTCAAATATATAATTGCATATTCAAATATATTAAAATTACTCGTTCAGATAATGCGAATATTTTATTGCCTATTATTATTTCATTTTCAGATCACTAGTGTTTTTGAAGAATTTTTTCGTTTTTATTTATATGATCATGAGAGTTTAATAAATCTTAATTAAATCACATTTACTTTAACTAATTCACTTACCGAGATAAGAATGAGAACCGAGATAAGAATCGACGAATAGAAAAGGAATAACATGCGATATGCATTCTAATATAAATTCATGTCGAGCTTTCGTTCGTCTTTGCCACGCCAAAGGCGCCGTAGTAAAAATCGCAAAACAACGAACTGAAGTATGAGAAACGAGTTCGTCTACTTCGCCAAAAGTATCCCGAGATGGATCACCGTCGCATCTGACAGCCGGTGTATTAAGGCAGCGACAGACAAATTTCCGCCGGGCGGAGCGCAAAAAACGGCCTTCTCGCGGAGACGAGGATGGATTTGGTCGCTCGTTGCACCCCGGTCGATTAGTCTCGGGAGACACGGTAGCCGGTGCTGGATCCCCATCGTCCGGAGGCCGCGTGTACACACGCGTGCCCCGCATGCACGCGAAGACGCGCCGAGCGCGCGTCGAACGGCGAGCTTATTAGTTCGCATTGGCCGACTCTCACGCGTCTACCATACGGGACAATGCGCGGGGATTGCACATTGTTGTTTATATTTACGCGTCGCGGCATAAATCTTCGTTTAAGTCGCATTCAGCCGGCGTACGCTGAGAGCATGGCCGCGCACACATTCGCACACAGCCGGCTGCGAACGCGAACGCGCGCGTATGGTTCGTCACGGATAACGCGCGGTCTTCATTAAACTTAACTTCTTTGCGTGCCAACCAGCCATTAAGGACACAGGACCGGCCTACGACTAATTTGTACTGTAAATGAGATCTCGAGGATCGTTACTCGCGTGAAACAACGTCATTCTAACGGTCGCAGCCCGCTGCTACATGATTATCGCTTTTGGTTGAATGAGTGAATCGCTAAACATTATTTGACGTTTATTTTTATCATCTTTTCTTTTCCAACTTGTTTCCATAATATATGAGCAAGTGCGACATAATTGATTTATCAAAAATTTAAATTTTGTAAAATTTATCAGTCTACACGAGATAAAGTTTTAAGATTGCTTTGGAACTTGAAAATGACGTAAAACGTATTACATATGTTTATACGAATAGAAAAACTGACAATATATTGCACAACGGGAAGTAAATTTTTTAACTAAAAACTGATATATATTTATAATTATTTTTCGCCAAATGTTTTCATGTTTTTTTTTTTAAATAAATAGTAATATTTTAATAGACTGAATAATTTAATAATAGTTAGAAAGAACGGAGTATAATAATTATTAATTTAATTTATCAATCTATACATGTTCACTGATTATATTTGTTAGCGTTGCAAAAAGTTCATTAATAATTTACTGTATATAATAATATAAGTAAGTCCTAGCGAAAACAATGTTTGAATTGCTTAATATTAGCAAACGTTGATATTGTATATATAATATAGGGTATTTTATCCGGCTTAGTATTCAGCTTAGTATTCAACCTATTAATGAAGCACAACTACATTTTCGACTGAGACAATGGCCCTCCCTATCACCGTATCTCCGTATAGCGAATAATGCTTCCGAGATTAAGACATTATTTGCGAGATACACTTACATCGCGTGGCATTCTGTGTATAGTAATGACGGCGTACCGCTTTCGGGATTGTCTATGCGTACGCGAAAGAGAGAGACGGGCTGTGATAACTACCTTCGGTTTGCGTTCTCTCTGAAGCAATTTTCACCGACTAACTGACCTGCTTATATGTGCCGCGATCAAGACCGCCCATCCTCGGAGCATTTATATCGCTGTAGCGGCCGAGAAGTACGGACGTACGTAATATTTTGCCTAGGCACGAGCATCGCTCGGGATGTACAGCTATCGGTAAATTATGGCCATTAAATTATGAATATAGCGGCGTGCGCGTTTTACGAGAATTATTTTGCCATGTAAAGGGGAATTTATTCCTCGTGCGAACATTAATTCTTCGTGCGAATAATGGCAAGGTGAAGTGCCGAGATGCGGACCTAGCAAATCGATCGTGGATCGAAATCACGCCGTAACATCAGCGGGCACATGTAAGTTCGACATTTTTCAATGCGATTGACAAACGCGATTTCAATGCAGATAATTTACGCCGTTAAATCGGCTCGATCTGAACTTATCTATTAAATTATTATATTATTATATTATTATCAATTAAAGAATACGCGTTTCAAAAGATGGAGACTCGATCATAATCGCCCCGTTAAAAGTTTACGATTATGTAACTTTATAGCATATTAAATTAAGAAAGTAATGGTCAATAATACATGCTGATTATAAATTATCGTAATGTCAGCAATGTCTAGCGTGCCGCAGATAACAATGATACGAACATAATAGTACGATTCTTTAATAAAATAGAAAAATTCGATGTTGCAGCTTTTTCTCCAAAGTAACATAAATTACAAATACATTAATGAGATTCTACCGGTGATATTCACAACTTCAAAAGAAGATATAGCTTTATTAAAATATCGTTAAATGGCAGGTGCGTTCTTAGAGATTGACATATTTGATCAGATCTATCAACGCTATGCTTTGAACAGTTAGATGATTTCTGCCACAATCTTGACTGGTTACTTGATTCTATACACCACGTAATCTTCTCGTTTTTCCCGAAGAAAATTGTGGCGTATCGTATGGCTTCGATTACCTGCTGCCTATACAAACACCTTAGAGTGTACATACATGAACCCTTAGGATGATGTCCGAAGATGGATAGTCATGGAGAATCTGATGCAAATACATAAATTCTTAGTGCTATATACGATTATGTCTTCCCTCTACCTTTCTGGACGAATAAATGTTTTTCTCTGAGCTCACAAACAACATTCCACTCTAATTAAACTTCCACTCTAATTAAGAGTCGCCAATAAAAAAATGAAGCTAACAAAACGAGACAGACTTATATAGATAAAAAAAAATAGATGTTTGTTTTTCTAATAGTACAGCTTTTTGAAACATCTATAAAAATGAGCATATTATTATATTTTGGATTTTAAACATCTTATAGCATTTTGTCATAATGCTGTAGCTTCTTTCTTTTTTCTCGTTTTCTTCCTGTTTTCTTCACCTCCGTGTCTCGCCACATTCGGAATTCAGGTAGGGAGAGAGAGAGGCCCTCTCACGATTATCAAAGGGGAGGAGTCAGTGGCGCGAGGAAACAGCGTCAGCGGTCTTCGCGCCAGATAAATCTACGTCGCGATCTGCGTTCAAGAACGTCGTTACCTGCGTGTGTATACGCACGCTCGCTCGCGCGCGCGCACCTGCAGGCTTCGAATGTGCGTGCCCGATTGTACAGGAGCGAGCTATCGTCCATCGCGATGGAGGTTTCCGAAGGTACGTCGGACTTAACAATGTGAAGAGGCGACCATATGGACCAGCTGTTACTGATATCACCCTAACTCAAATTTTGTTTTTCATGGAGAAATGAGTTGATGAATTATGATAATGTTTATAATATGGGCTTATTTCGCTGGAAAAAGAGATGGTATTTTAGCCAGATGAATCTAGTGACCAATATTAACTGACTCGTATTTGAGTGTTACAATTATACTGAATAGAAATTTTACATTGTGTGCGTGAAAGAAACGAAAGCAATATTTCATGACTGAATGCATGATATTATAATTGGCCTATCGGAAATCACTAATTACAAATTAGGTGATTGTTTAAAAATAACGCATACATTAGGGGTGCAAGATATTATCGTATTTCGATATGAAAAGAATGATTTTGCTAAAATAATCTAAAAATTTAGCCAGTAACACTTCAAAATAATGTCGTTAAACCGAGCGTTAAACTATCAAAATAATTATGTAAAGAACTTAAACATGGTGGATAATGTTACAAAAAATTTTGACATTTTACAAGCTTGTGCTTGTTCTTCATTATTATTGTTAAAGTCAAACAAAGGTGTTTTCAGAGTGCTTTATTTATCAAATTTTTAGATACTTCAGCAAAAGCTTCTTTCCGAGAACGGTTAACTATTCTATTGACAGGTTATTCTATTGTAGGTTACAGCAGCGAAAGTAGAAATACTAGTGATGTAGAAGTTGCTTTCGTCGGGAGTAGCTTTCATAAATAATGTATTTTCTGACACAGATGCGTAATCGATGCACCTGTATATCGCGCAAAACTCGTTGCGCGATTTACCTACTCCTGTCATCCGATTCGATTACCGTAAGAACCGGATTTCTGCATGATTGTCGAGAAATATGTATGTATGCCGACAAGGTGACTTTTGCGTCGAGTTGATACACGAGTCAAATCAACGATTCAGAAATTCAACCGGGTACCTACCCTACCGCTTTCTGTAGTCTATCGTTGGACGAGTACACGAATCACCTGCTTATCTAATGCCGTCAAGACTACGTGACTACATGTTCTTGAGAGCACACATCTCGCATCTCATTATGGTCGTTGAGGCCTTGTAAATTGCAAAACTGTTTCTCGCGTTAGTGGATTTTACAATTCAAAAATAAAAATACTGCTTACTCAGAAGCTTACAAAGCGGACGTGTCGCGTGCTTTCTGAAATATTTTAAAATAAAAGATAAGAATTATTTTAGACCGCATGAAAAACACAATCAATATTAAAAATTAAATGCCTACAACGGTCAAAAGCTGG